TAAAAGACCACTGAGTTTTCTCTAGTTCTCCTGAACTTGAGAAGGTCTCTGTTCCTTCTCCTCAAGTCTGTCAATGCTGTGAGGCTCCCTGGGAGACTTCCTCATCCTCAACCTTCATTTTATTGTTGGGATAAAGCCTTCTATGATTTTAATTTGGTTGTGAGTTTGTTTTTCTGTTGTTATCATTTTAATATATTGCTGGGTCTGGTTAGTTAATATTTATTTAGGATTTCTGCCTCTGTTCTTATAGACGCGACAGACTGTAATTTCCTCTGTTCAAATTGCCCTTGTCTCTTGAACTGACGGGAGTTGCTCTGCACTGGTTTTTTTTTTTTTCTGAAATAGAATAGTTTGTATATGATAAGATGTAATGGTCTCCTGAATTCCATAGTGCTCACCTCTACGACGCATCTTCTATGTTTATTTTATGTTGTTACCAATGTTTATAAGTGAATACGTGTATTAGGTCATTTTTCAAAACTGCCTTTTTTGTTGTGTTTTTGGCAGTGCTGGAGATGGAACCCAGGGCCTTGCAGAAGTTTAGCAGGTGCTCTGTCCCTGAGCTACATACATGTCCAGCTCCAATTCATCGCCTTTTAAAATACTGTTATGTTACAAGACCTCCAAAATAACTCAGCATTGAAAGTGCTTGTCACACAGCCTGGTTATGTGAGCTCCATCCCCAGAAGCCACATAAAGATGGAAGGGATAAACGACTCCATCAAGTTGTCCTCTGACCCCTGCACAGGTGGGGTAAGTGTGCTCATACATACATAATGCACATACGCACAAATAATGGAGAAAATTAAAGTGCTGTTAGAGGGTCCTTCCCATGATACCATCAACACGTCTGTTTTATCTGCTGCTGTGTTGTTGAATTATTTTTCTAGTTTTGACTGCTTCTCAGTCCTACTAGAGGATCTTTTTCTATCTTGTTTTCTTTTTATAAAACAATCTTTTGTTTTTATTGATCTTTATTGATTCTTTGCCTTCTATTTTATTAACTCTTGCTCTATGATTAATAACTCTATCAATGTACAGGCGAGGTGAAAGAAAAGAGGGCTGAGGAGTTGGCTCAGGGGGTTAGAGCCCTTGATGTGCAATCTTGAGGAGCTGAGTTCAAATCCCTATCACTAAAGCAAAAAGCTGGGTACGGCCACGTGACCCAGCACCGTGAGGAATGGTCCTCAGGATGACTACATTCAAACAGACAACAGAAATTGTTGACAAGGACAAAGAGAAACTGGAATCTGTGGTGGTATTGTGTTCCCCAAAATATTGTGTACCTTAATAAACTTATCTGGGGTCAGAGAACAGAAAAGCCACTAGTTAGGCAATGATAGCACACGCCTTTAATCCTAGCATTCCAAAGACAGAAATCCCTCTGGATCTCTGTGAGTTCAAGGCCACATTGGAAACAGCCAGGCATGGTGACTCACGCCTTTAATCCCAGGAAGCCAGCCTTTAATCCCAGAGAGTGGTGGTAGAAAGCAGAAAGATATATAAGGCGTGAGGACCAGAAACTAGAAGCATTTGGCTGGTTAAGCATGTGGCTGGTTAAGCTTCAGGCTTTCGAGCAGCACAGTTCAGCTGAGATTCATTCTGGATGAGGACACAGAAACTTCTACTCTGAGGAAACAGGACCAGCTGAGGAATTGGCAAGGTGAGATAGCTGTGGCTTGTTCTGTCTCTCTGATCTACCAGCATTGACCCCATTAACTGGCCTCGGGTTTGATTTTATTAATAAGAACCTTTAAGATTCCTGCTACAGGAATCTCCCACTTCATTGGTGGTATAGCCTCTGTGGAGAGCAGTCTGAAGTTTCTTAAAAGTTTAGCACTAAGCATGGTAGCACATGCCTATAACCCTAGTACTTGGGAAGAGTAGGGCTGGAGGATCAAGAGTTCAAGGTCATTTCTGCTACGTAGCAAGTTCAAGGCCTGCCTGGACAACATGAGACCCTGTCTTAGAAAAAAAAAAAAGTTAACTATTGAATTTCCATGTAACCCACAAATTCCACTCCTGGGTATAGCACCAAGAAAAATGAAAATGTGTGCCCCCACAACCCTTGTACACGAATAGGTTCAGCTATATTACTCATAATGTCTAAAAAGCCCAAATATCTCAAGTGTTCATGAACTAATGGGTGAATAAAATGTATATCATTCTTACAATTAAATATTACTTAGCCAGAAAAAAAGGAATGAAGCACTGTCATATGCTATGACATGAATGAATGTTGAAAACATGATGCTAGCCATCATGACACACACCTGTGAATCCAGTACTTATAAGGCAAAGGAGTACCGGAGTTCAAGGCCAACCTTGACTACATAGGAAATTTGAGGCTAGCCTAGGCTATATGAGACTCTGTCTCAAACAAACAAACAAACAAATAAAACAAATTGATTATGGTGATGGCTATGAAATTCTGAGAATATGTCAAAGTCATTGACTTGTAACAAAGAGTTAAACAGGCCAGGCATGGTGAGGCAGGCCTGTAATCATCCAACACTTGGGAGACAGAGGCAGGGAAGACCGATGAAAATTGGAGGCTAGCTTGGTCTGCATAAGAAGTCCCAGGCCTTTCTGGGCTACAGAGTAAGACCCTGTTTCAAGAAACCCAAAATAATTAACAAAAGAAAATGATATGATACATTTCAGACTAGGGGACACTTGCTTAGCCTCACGTCCGCTCTTACTGTTTTGAGATCCTAGGCCAGAGTATATACCACAGTGATGAATATGACTAAACTTTAAATTTCACAAATGAATCTAACCATTTATCAAATACATATACGTCATCTTCTTACCTTGGCAAATAGACCTTCATAACTCCCTGTAGGTCCAGACTCCACAGAGGATGCTCAGGCTTGGGACTGGGAAGGTAGATGTCAGTAAAGTGCTTGATTACAAGCATGAGGACCTGAGTTCAAATCCCCAGTACCCATGAAAAAAGCCAGGTTCACAAAGATACATACTCAACTGTGTTCATAGCAGCATTATTTGTAATAGTCAGAACCTGGAAACAACCTATATGTCTGTCAACTGAAGAATGGATAAATAAAATGTGATACATACACACACACACACACACACACACACACACACACACAATGGAGTACTACTCAGCAGAGAAAAACAATGACATCATGAAATTTGCAGGCAAATGGATGGAACTAGAAAATATCCTGAGTGAGGTAACCCAGACTCAGAAGGACAAACCTGATATGTACTCACTCATAAGTGGATACTAGATATAAAGAAAGGACAATCAGACTGCAACTCACAGATCCAGGGAGGCTACATAGCAGGGGGGACCCTAGGATGACTGTGGCTTATAATAAGTTTTGGTTTTACCCAATCACTGGGCAAGCGTTAGTGAAACATTTAACTATTATGATAAGAATTTGTACTGTATCAAGCTAATGAAAGAAAATGCTGGCCGTACTTTCAGGAGGGGAGGCTAAAGTCTTTTTAGATTATGGATTAGCCTATAGTAAAATGTCTGCTTTAAATCAAACAGAGAAGGGGAAGATGAATAAGAATCTCACACAACTTAAGTAAAACATAGCTCTCTGAACAGATGAAGATAGGTTTCTTCTGTATCCCAGAATCTAGTCAATATTTATATGTATAATTCAGCTATCATTTGGCTTAAAAGGACTTATTGGGAAATGTTATCATTTACACTATTTTCTACAGAGAAAATATTTTACTGTTTAAAATAATCCTGGACTTTTAAATTATAACCTGTTTTTATGTTAATGAAAAATAAAGAGAAAAAAGCCAGGTTCATAGCACCTACCTGTAATTCTAGCACCGGGGAAATACCAATAGGCAGACCCTTGGAGCTTGTTGACCTGTTAGTCTTGGTGACTCCATTAGCTCCACAGTTAGCTGGAAATCCTGTATCCGAGAGTAAGGTGTGACAAAATAAGGTGGTGGCTTATACTTTTAGTCCCAGCACTCAGGAGGCAAAGGCAGGTAGAGCTCTGTGAATTCCAGGCTAGCTTGTCTTCATATTGAGCTCCAGGCCAGCTAGGGCTACAGAGTGAGATGGTGTCTCAACACAATTCAACAAGGGGCTGGAGAGATGGCTCAGTGGTTAGGAATATTGACTGCTCTTCCAGAGGATCCAGCACCCACACAGAGGCTCACAACTGTCTGTAACTCCAGTTCCAGGGGATCTGGTCCTCTCTTCCAGCTCCCAAGGGCACTGGAGGGCATAGGCATGCACTTGGTACATAGACATACATGCAGAAAAAATAGTCATACACATAAAGTGGGAAAATAAATAAAAATAAATAAAACTAAGGTGGAGAGTGAATCAAGAAACCAATGCACATTTTGTGTCTACATGCACATGGGAGCGCGCGCGCACGCACACACAAATACACAGAAACAGAGACACACAGAGACAGAGACACACAAAAAGATGTTCTTTGCAGTTCTGCTCCAACATGAGGGGGAGGTTGGCAGCTCTTTACCTACCCTTCCTTCTCTAACTCCTGGATCTGCCCACATGATGAGAGGCCCACGTGCATGCATCTGGATTCCCACTCCACACAACTAGCCATGGTCACGTCTTCTTTAAACAGCTACTTCTTAAAACACTGTGTTTTAAGAAGATAAACGAATAAACAATATGAGGTTATCTGTAATTCTCCAGAGGACAGACCTAGGTAAGACACTAGCACAGGGCCTGGAAATCAGTGTTTAGCATGGGTTCCAGGCTCCAGGCACACACTTTGGTCACTGTCACGGCTTGTTTGGAGCTATCCTGGAGTCCTCGTCCTGTGGGAAGAAGCCTTGGCTGGAGGATGACCAGGACTCTTCCTAAAGAGGAGTGCCCAACACAGTAGACGCTCTTGCCCATGTCTTGGGGAACCCTTCCATTTTGATGAATGAAACAGATCCACACCAAGGGGTCTATTTCATCATTGTGAATTTCTAGAACACTGGGACAAAGAGAAGATTCTAAAAACTTCCAGGAAAGGGAAAGCGAGGGAGAGAGGGAGAAAGACAGGGGACAGCGTCCTATAATGAGCCAGTATCACAGTGACAACAGACAAGACACTTCCAGCACAGAGCTGGAGGCTGAAGGCAGAAAGCCATGCTTTCAAATCCGGAAGGAGATCCTTTACAACCTAGAATTCTGTATGCAGAGGCCACACTTGGAGCTGTGTGGGTCTGATGGTTAATGTTGATTTCCAACTTGAAGTATCTGGAATAAGCTAAGAGGCAAGCCCTGAGCAGGTCTGTGGGGGTGTGGATTTCCAGGAAAGATTAAGGGAAGAAAGTTCCCCAAGAACGGGCAGAATCCAGTGGTGGCCCCCGTCTGAGAGGTCCAGGAAGAGGCAGTGCTGTTTCCTCCCAGCTTTGCTTCTTGCTCCTTTCTCTCTGCTGCAGCCACATCCTTCACCCATGTCAGAACCCAGCGTCTCCAGGCCTGACATAGACTGAAGACCAGTGGCTCTCCAGGAATCTTTCAGTCCTTCCCCACCTGACTGAGACTACTGAGGCATCCAGCTTCATGGAGAGAGGAGCTACTCCACCTCACCCCCTCCAGACAGCCACTGTTGGATCAACTCCTATTGGTTGTAAGCCACTCTAGTAAAACCTCCTTCTAATAATATACACCCTCTCAGTTCTGGTCCTTTAGAGCGCCGGGACTAACAGAGTGGATGGAGAAGGAAGGTCACAGCAGACTTGTAAACACGGTCTACTCGTATTGCTTAAGAGGCCGCTCGAAGATGTGCTGCACTGAGAGGTGCACACCTAGACAGCAGGGAGCCCAGTACAACGGGCGAGACTGAGAGGGAATGGAAGCCCACTCCTGCCCCCAAATGAATGTGGTTGGCTTTCTTTTTCTTTTAGAAAGAGGAGTGGTCAGCTAGCTTTGGCTCATGGTTCAGAAGGAACAGTCTATCACATCAAGGAAGACATGGGTGTAGACTGACTCCTGTCCATAATAGTGAGAGCATAAGGTAACCGGCCATGGGGCTGGCAGTCAGGAAGCAGAGAATTTTGATTAGAAGCTGAGCTAGACTATCTTAAAAAAAAAAAAATTCAGGGTCTTGCCGGGCAGTGGTGGTGCACACTTTTAATCCCAGCACTCAGGTGGATCTCTGAGTTTGAGGCCAGCCTGGTCTACAGAGCTAGTTCCAGGACAGCCAGGGATACACAGGGGAAACTCTGTCTTGGAAAACAAAAAACAAACAAAAAACGCAAACAGGATCTTGCTGCATATGTAGCCCAGGTTGTTTAAACTGTGGTTCTTCCACTTCAGCCTCCTAAGTGCTGGGATTACAAGAGTGTGTCATTACACACAGCTGTGTTTGTTTGGTGTCGCTGCAGAACAAAACCCCCAAATGCAGTTTAAAGCATTGTCCATGGTCAAGCTTGGTGCCATGTGCCTGTGGTCTCAGCACTTGAGGAGGAAGATCAGGAGTTCAAGGTCATCTTCAGCTTGGTTGAGAGTTTTAGGACAGCCTGGAGTACATGAGACATTACCCCCCCAAAAAAGGAAGAAGGAAGGAAAGAAACCAAAAAACAAGCTGGGCATGGTGGCACCTGCCTTAAATCCCAACACTAGGGAAGCAGCGGCAAGCAGATGTCTTGGTCTACATAGCAAGTTCCAAGACAGCAGTCTCTAATTCTGTAAATTAGAAGTCAGGAGTGTACAGTGGCTGGGTCCCTGTTGTGGGTATTTGTACACCATATGAAGGTGTATTGCTGTGATTGGTATAATAAAAGGTTGAATGGCAGATAGCTAGGCAGGACTTCCAGAAACAGAGAAGGCTCTGGAAGGAAGAAAGGAGGAGTCACCAGCCAGACCTGGAAAAGAAACAGGAGGAGGAAGAGAGGTGATGCCATGTGGCAGAACATAGATTAAAAATATGGGTTAATTTAAGTTTTAAGAACTAGGTAGAAACAAGCCTAAGCTATAGGCTGAGCTTTCATAATTAATAAGAAGTCTCTGTGTCATTATCTGGGAGCTGGAGGAACAGAGAAAGACTCGTTACAGGCCCCCTACTTGGGATCTTTTTAAGTATGGGGAAGGGAGCTAGAAAGATGGTCCAGTGGTTAAGGGCATGTACTGTTCTTGTTCTCAGCACCCACGTCAGGTAGCTGATAACCGCTTGCAACTCCAGTTCCAGAGGATCCGATGCCCTCTTCTGGCCTCTGTGGGCTCCTTGCACGCACATCTTACAAATAAACTCGCAAAGGTATACACACGTGTACATAATAAAAATACATAGATTATATTTTGCTTGGCATGGTTATGGACTCTTTTAATTCCAGCCGAGACAGGTGGATCTCTGTGAGTTCAAGACCAGCCTGGTCTACATAGCAAGTTCCAGGATAACCAGCACTACATAATAGAGAGATCTGTTTAAAAAAAAAAAAAAAGACATTGTATTTATTGTGAGTGTTGGGGAAACACACGGGAGAGAAAAGAACAACTCTGGGGTGCCGGTTTTCTTCTTCCACCCTGTGAGACCTAGGGATGGAACACAGATGTCAGCCTAGGTGACAAGTGCCTTCATCTGCTGAGCCACCTCACTGTCCCCTACTTGGGATCTTTGGAGGCTCCTTTCTCACACCCCAGCACCCCAGAAGAGCAGTGGTGGGGACATCCCCCAGGCCCTGACCCAAGGCTAGCTCCACCCTTCTTATGCAGAACACCCTCACAGCCACCACCTGTGACCCCAGACTCCCGACTTCTACCATGGGCCGGAGCAGAGCTGCTTGTGCAAGAATCCCTGGGATTAGCTAAGTCTGGCTGGAGAAATCTCAGCTAAACGTCAACTGTGACCTCAGTCACATCTATAGTTCTTCCAACACATAGCAGGGTGTGGGGCACAGAGCAGGGCGGGGGTGTCTGTCTCCCGGAGCTAGGGGTTCTGCCCATGCTCTAAAGAAGCTCACTGGGGTGTGGGGGGGGGGGCGAGAGCCACTAGAGTTATCTGAGAATTAAACAGCCATGAAGAATGAAGGACATCAAAGGTGATGAGTGCACAGCAATCCCCAAGGACAACTGGAGAAGCTAGGGGACCCTGAGGGACATCGCTTCCAGATGAAAGCCGCTTGAGAAATGAGCTTAAATCTATGCAGAAGGAAAGAAAATCTCCTTTACCCCTGATTTTAACAACTTTCTATAAAAAAAAAGAAGGCATTGAAGCTCCATATATCAGAAGATCGACTAGTGTCTATATAGTTACAGCAATAGAAATCCACAGATTGATACAAAAATAGATCTGAGCTATGCACAGTGACAGATGCCTACAAATCCAACCCTTAGGAGGAGGGGCTGAGGCATTGCCATGAGTTTGAGGCCAGTCTGGGCTACAAAGTGAGTTCAAGTCTAGTTTGAATTGAAGACTCAGTTTCTAAAAAAAAAAAAAAAAAGCCTGCCATGAGATAGAGATAGAATGCTTGCATGTTATGCACACAGTCCTGGGTTCGCCCTCAGTCCACAAATCAAACAAATGAAAGCATGGAGTGAAAACAGTTTAATGTAGTGTTTCTGTTGTTCTGGCCAGACACACATGCCATTCCACATGCAATTGTGCCATGCATGAGTAGTAAGATTTATATCGTAATACACAGTGACATTTTCTTTGGCTTTGTTTTTGACGCAGGCTCTCCTGTAGCCCATGCTGACCTCAAACTCACAATGCAGTCAAAGATGAATCATCTTGAACTGATCCTCCTGCCTCTGCCCTCTGAATGCTGGGATTACAGGCATAGCCACCCTGCTCTGTTCACATTTTTTTTCCTGTGACTCTGGGAATGGAAGCCAGGGCCTCTTCCTTCCTAAGTAAGTACCTTACAGTGACAAGTGAGCCATGTACCCAGCCAATTTTCCTTTACTTAGAATGACTCCTTTTAAAAATATTATTAAAGATTTATATATTTGTATTTCATATGCAATGGTGTTTTGCTTGCAAGTATGTCTGTGTGAGGGTGTCAGATCCTCTGGAACTGGAGTTCCAGACAGTTGTGAGCTGACATGTGGGTGCTGGGAACTGAACCCAGGTCCTCTGGAAGAGCAGCTGGTACTCTTGACCACTGAACCATCTCTCCAGCTACCTTATAATGACTTTTAATGACAAATAAAAGTACCATGTGACACAGGTCATGGGAGAAAGACTGAAGCATGGTATCTGAGGCCTACAGTGGCACTTCACCCCCGGGCAGTCAACGAAGCTCTCGACTTATTACTTTTCTTGCTGCTCCAACAAAATGCCAGAGAAAAACAACTTAAGAAAGGAAAGGTTCATTTTGACTCCTGGTTTGAGGGGCCAGTCTGTCACCCCAGGGAAGGCATGGTGGCAGGCTCTGGCATCAGCAGCATGAGGCAGCTGGTCACATTGCTTCTGCAGTCAAGATTCGGCCGTCTCTCTCCTGTTTATGCAGCCTGGGACTCCAGCCTATCTACTGGACCCGCCCACATAGTCCAGGCTCTGTGGGAAAGCCTTCACAGACACACTCAGACACACATCTCCTGGATGATTTTATATCTCATTAAGTGAGAAATTAACCAACACACCTTCACTTTCATTTTGCTTGGGGTCTTACTACTGATGGAATCTCCCCTGAAGCCATGAGTAGGTTTGAATTCAGAATTTCAAATGACACAATGCAAACTTGGCTTCTCTCTATCCCTCTGCTCTGGCTTAGACCTCAGCCTCATGTGTTGGAAGGAAAGAGGCTGCCACCATGATGCTTTGAGGACTGAGTATCCCCAGTGAAATCGTCTGAGTTGGGCTTGAGAATACATCTCCTGAAAGGTTTTAATATCCTCTATCACCTCCCTTTTTCTAGTTTTCTGTCTGGTGCAGTGACCAGAACCAACTTAGGAGGGAAAGCTTTATTAGGCTCACCCTCTCAGGTCACAGGCAATCCCTGAGAGAAGTCAGGGCAGGCACTGAAACAAAAACCATGAGGAATGCTGCTTACTGCCTTGCTCTGTGGTTCATGAAGTTCTCTTATATAGTCCAGAATCACATGCCCAGGGAAGAAACTGCACAATGAGCTGGGCCATCACATCAATTAAGGCAATCTCTCACAGACATGGCACGGGTCCCTCTGATCTAGATAACCCCTCAACTGATATTCCCTCCTCAGGTGACTCTAGGTTGTGTCAAGTTGATGGCTGAAGCTGACTAGGGCACCTTTAATATGGGCACAGAAGAGAATTTAGGTAATGAATGTCTGCCTCTTTGTGTTCTCCAGTTTGGAGGGTTTCTAGCCACACAGTACAGAGGGTTCAGTTTAGCACTCAGCCTTCATTCTGCCAAATCCACAAGGTCTAGTAACAGAAGCCAGCTACCTACCTGGTCAAGTCAGGGTGTGGATGTCAAAGTGGCCTGGGTGACTCTGCTCCTGAGGAAGGGTCTCCAGGTTTGGCCTCCGACCTGCTGGAGAACTCAGTCTCTCCTTGGTTGCCCTCTGGGCCTGGGCCTTGGCCACAGCCCCACATCCAAGTTTCTGCCTCTAGGAAATGAAACCTGAAGGTGGGAAGCACTTCAGGTCTGCCCTCTGGCTACACGCAGCTACATCTTTACCAAGTACAAGGAAGGCCTTGCAGACGCCAATGCTGAGATCAACCATGAACTAACTA